AAAAGCAAATAAAGTAATTATTACTACTCATATGAGAATTTAGTTTTGACTCAAACTTGTAATAGCTAAGGAAACCCCTAAAGTTTGTGAAACGTGTCAGTCCCCTTGCAGTATCAAACATATCCTGATTCACTGCCCACTTAATAGCAAAATATTAGTTACTAATCAATGTGCAACTACTTCAAATGTCAAAAGAAGTGGATTAAATATAATTAATTTCCTCTTTGAGCTAAACCTCTAAAAATATGTTAGTACTTGCAAGTGTACTTGTATATAAGTAATAGTATGTAATGTGTAAATATTGCATACCTGAGTATTTATAGGATACAAATGGTTTCTGTGAAGTATGATGTTATAGTTTGAAAATATTTAATTGCTATTACTAAAAAGATTTTTTTACAAACATTTTTTTAAATTCTTTTTTTTTTTAATTCTGTTTTTCAATGTAATGAGTATTCAGAGATCATTTATGGAGTTGCTTGAACATGGAACTTGTAATACTAAAAGAAAACTCATTAGATGCATATTCTTCATGTTAGGTGTCTGACGTTTTTAAGTTTTGTAAATATGCATGGAATTTTAAAAGAAGTCTATTTCAATAACATGTAGACTTGGCCTATTACCACTTATATTACAAGCAGAAAGAATCAGTGGTATCTAATAAAAAAAAAAAAAAAAGTGAATGAGTATGAATGAACAAGTATGAACTGGCAATTGATACGTATAATTAAGACCTATTGGTTGTAAAAAAATGTTAAATGAACTTGATAAATTATTTTTTTCTGATATAACGCAACAAAGCATATTAACTAGTGCTACAGAATGACTTTGTTGTACTAATTAGTTTTCTAATTTCTTTGGTCTGGCCTAGCTTTTCGGTCTTGCCCATCCTCTTGCCAGCTGCCATCCCCCAGCTGAAACCCAAAGTACATTTTTTTTTCTCTCTCTCTCTTTGGTTTAGAACGGAAATATTACATAAAGAAAATTTGAGAAGAGTAAAACCTCATCTTACATGAACATTTTCTGTGAAAATTTTGGGCTGTTTTTAAGAAAATGTCGTTTAAACAACATTTGAAGCTGTTTTTTTACAGAAACGTTCTTTGAGTTTGCGAAAAACTTCTTTGGAGACATTTGAAGCACTTCTACTTACAATTGTAATAATGTACTAAAATTGTGGTAATGTAAATATTTATGACGTAAGGGGGGGGGGAGTCAAATATTGAAATTATTAAATGTCCCCCCTCCCCCCCAAAAAAGGAAAGAGCAAAATGGCTTTTATTTCATCTAATAGAGTGCATTTAGCACTCTGCATACATAAAGTGTGAAGGAAAAAATTGAAGCTCGTTTTCACAGGAAACTTGAGTTTTTTGACGAACTTTATCAGACTTCATTTGAAGCACATGTACTCGTAAATTCAATACTGTGAACCAATCGACGCTAATGTAAATATTAACGACGTGAGAGACAATAATAAATAATACAACATTACTCGGAAGAAGCCAGGAAAAAATTGAATTTTTACAATTTTCAAAAAAGTAGGAATTTGAACGAAAATGAGACGTGCACCATTCTTTTAAGCGGCTTTTACAGTATCTTAACAACAAAATTTAATCAAAAATGTGATCCCCCGCCCCTTTTTTAAAATTTTATTTAAATATTTTTTAGTTGTGAAAATGCCTAAGGGGCGTCGTGTAAAGAACCCTCAAAATTAAAGTATGTTTCAAGTTCAAGGGTTCACGACATCCCCAGATACGATGGGGGATCAATTTTGGAGAAAATCGGCTGAATGTTTTAGGCGCTAGCGTTGACCAGAGACGGACGTTTTGCTGTCAATCGATTCTTAAG